TTGTCTTTTACCACTGTATCAACCCTTCAAGTGATCTCTCTTGTGTGAAATAAATAAGTAAGACCAGTGGTTTCCACTCTCTGAGTTTTCATTTTCTCATGTCGGTTTTTTATTTGTTTGTTTTGTTCCAGTCCTAACTATTTTTAGTTGATGACAAAATAAAACCCCAAGATATTTCCCAGAGGCCAATATTGCGCTTTTCTTCTTTTTTTCCTCAAACACTTTTAGACAAAGTTTAGCTGTTGGTAAAGTTACTGTCCCACTAGCTACAATATAAATCCTTTAGAAAGCAGAGCTCTTCGTCCTAAGTCAGGATACCAGGCTGAAGGGACATTATTCTGTTTTAAAAGGACGAGGAAAATAATTCAGATTCCTCGGATTCGAACCCCGAAAATATATCGGACTAGTTGGGCCCCCCTTTCGATGAAAGGAATGATCGGTGAATTAACATCGACTGAAATTCATTGGCTTACTAATTTACACTCTACTGGAACGGAGCATTAAATCTTGAGAGATGCAAAAAAATTAGAAGATTTATATAGAGGGATGAGTAGATTGATTCTCTATTCCGATTTCGTGGCTGTACACGCGAGAATTTCAAAGGTGTGGAAACAGTGCGCACGGCTAGTGAACGGAAATCTATCATCCTTAGCTCTACTCCTTTTTCTCTCCTCCTTCTTTTTCTCTCCTTCTTCTTTTTCTCTCCTTCTTCTTTATCTCTCTTCCTTCTTTTTAGTGTTTATCTCTTGTAACACTTCTAATCTCTCCCCCCCCCCAAACCAAGGCAATGCTACTGACTGAAGCTGTCTTTAAGTCATTCCCAAAGGGGGATATTAACATGTTCTTATGCACAGCAGAATTGTAAATGGGCTTTTTTTTATCAACGTCATGCTCATACTGTGCCGGAACAACATAGGGAGAACTGCTGCTTTTTCTTTCCTCATCCTTACTATCGTTTTTTTTTCCTCTACGGCCATTGACGTCACAGTCCAGCAGGATACCAAGTGAACCAACAGCGTGTCTTGTTACCTCAGATAGCCCACTAAATGTGCAGTGGTAGACACCCTGATAGCCTCTCCCCTTCCTAGTACACCCACAACTCCCTGTCTGAACTCCCTGTTTGAGGTCATTTAATAGATATTCTAAACCAAATGTTCAACACAACACAGTTGTCTTTGTACAAATATACGTTTATTTATATTTGGCTTTTCAAATAATGAACATTTCAAAAAGAAAATTACCAAAGGTTCACAAAAGGTGATATTTTACCCATGTGTAGGACAAAGATATTCAAAAGAAGACACACGAAACTAACCAAAATTGCATTTTACAACATTTTAAGCTTTCCTAAAAAAGGAAAACTCAGCGTAATTCAAAGAAAAAACAACTATTTGTCTTTAAGTCCATTATGAGCATCATCATTTAAGAGTAAGATAATATCATTTTAAGTCAATGAACCATCACTACCTCTACATAAAAAGCTGCGTTAATAGAAAATGCAAGTTTCCTGCATTGTCATGGTTTTCTAAAATTTAAAGAAAAATACCAGCTTTAGGCCTAATACAGATGTCAAAATACGCGTTATATCAAAAGTTTCACCAGTACATGTATCAGAGCTATTTAATTGAGCTACAGGAATGCTCCCAAGTAACCAAACAGTTTGCCTCGTTAGGTCAGTCAAGTATATATGACATACGTGTCGATTTACGGTTTTAAAAAAGTACAGCTCTTTTTCCCCAAAGATTTTTCCTTTTTGTCTCTCAAATCTAACAATTAAAGAAGAACAATAGCAAAAACAGCAACCACAAAAACAACAAATGAAATAAAAGCAAAACAAAATACAGCAAGACAAAAATGCAAGAATAATAATACAGTGGAATCCTGTTATAACGAGAGTTAGGGGACCGGAGCAAAATGTCCGCTATAGCAGGATTCTTGCTATAAGGGATCCACTAATAAATTCAAGGGAAACTGTAAAGTATGTCTAATCTATCAGCTTTGGAATAGTGTCTTTATAACAGACTTCTCGTTTTTTTCTGGACTCGTTATAAGTGGACTCCACTGTAAAAAAAATAAAAAAATAATTTAAAAAAACCAGTTTGAGGGAGGAACCAGTGACCTCAAACACGTCAGTTATCATTTCAAGAACAGGTCAGCACTATATCTTGGAGAACAAAGGCAAGAATCGGAGACGCAAACAGCACATGGTCCAGGCCGCAAGCAACTCTAATGACGTGCTCCTCGTCCTACTGCTTCCGTCAAAGCTCTCAAAATGTGCGTTTGGTAGTCTCAAACACAGTAGTTTTACACCATTCTGCAGCTTTCTGTAACTGCAGCATATCAGATTGGCAGGTGTGAAGATCCAGCATCTATGTGTAGACTAGTTCTTTTTCGATGACTGTCCAGTTTGTTTGAAAACTTTGAAAACTTCAAAAGACTGTCCAGAGAGATCGAGCTTTCAAACAGAGATAAAGTTTGAAGCTGGAAGTGTAGCAGTTTTTTAAAAAGTTTTTATGATTACAACGGACGATTAATTCGATTATTGAGCTCAGAAAACAAAGTCAATGTTTAAATGATATATCTGACAAAAATCACGAATTTCGCTCTCACCTGTTCAGGTTTATTCACGAATCGCTCGTCCACTTGTATACCACAAAGATTATTTTGTAATCTTTTAAACCTAGATTTAATTAATGAATCTGGAAGGTGGAGTGGTGGTGTGCAACGAGAGAACATCGTTGTATTTTTAGTTTGAAAGAAAACGTTAAGGACTGAATGTTTAGACATGCTATCTGTCAACGTTTTCCAAGCTCCTCTGTACCGGGTTTAGACTATTGACAAAAAATTCATTTATGAATAAGTACAAGTGTAATGAATAATACAACATATCACAAACATACACAATCCACTCTTCTTTGTTGGTCGCCCGTTATTTATATTGATTTGTTAATGTTTGTTTGTTGTTCTTTGTTTTGCGTTGTGATGTGTTGTTTTGTTAGGGGTTTCTGCTTTGGTTTTTTATTCTTTTTTTAAAGATAGAACACGTCCAAGTGTCCTATATATATATATATGTGTGTGTGTGTGTGTGTGTGTGTGTGTGTGTGTGTGTGTGTGTGTGTGTGTGTGTGTGTGTGTGTGTGTGTGTGTGCGCGCGCGCGCATGTGGTCAATGAAAACTCTTTTAACACATTGTTAAAAAATGGTGAAACTGTGTTTTATTTTTTAATGGAAGCACATTTTGTTCCAAAAAGTGATTTTGTTGTCGTTGTCATTATCAGCCTGTACCTCCAAATGGTCTGTGGCGACTTTTGGTACCTTTCTTTAGGCACACTCACGAGTAAAGAAAGTAAAGACAGCTGAAGCTGCAGATTGTCGTTGCAGTTGGCTATATCTGCACGGAATAAAATTTGAAAACTCTCGTTTTAAGCAATCTGACCTGAGCACAATCTTAAAAACCAGCTCTCACATTGTAGTTTGCATTAATGCACGTAATTCAAGACAATTTACAAACTGTAAAACCCAAGAGGATAAAAGTGAAACGTGTATTAGTCTTTTTTTACAAAGTTTATTCACATTTTCTTGCTAGTTTCTGAATGCTCCCTATGGCGGTAGGAAAATGCAAAGGCGAAGTAGAAAATTCCCTTCAAAGGTTCCAGTAACGAGAATATTTGTTCAGGACATCGCTGATTTCGTCCGCAGCGTTTGTTGCCCTCTTTCGATCAAAAGATTTCAGCGTTGCAGCAACATGGTTCCCCAAGGTCGTCCATTCATCACACGCTGCTTGTTCTTGGGCTAGGCCTGCTGGGGAAGGGCTGGCCTCCTTCATCCGGTCTGCTCTCACCTGAAGAGATGCCCGGACCTGAGAGCAAAGAGAAATGTGAGGCAGCGTGGTGAAATCAGGCGCTCGTCTAAATAATGAAATTTTAGAAAATGACAATGATATTTTGTTAGATCTATATCGGTTCACTCGAATAATAGATGTGTCAATCACATCTGTCAATGCGGGATGTGTCAAACACATCTGTCAATGCGGGATGTGTCAAACACATCTGTCAATCCGGGATGTGTCAAACACATCTGTCAATCCGGGATGTGTCAAACAGAGCTGTTAAAGTACTTTTTAAAAAGTACTTAAGTACAAATTTAAGTACAATCTAAAAAATGTACTTAAGTACAGTAAAAGTACTTTCCTATAAAATGTACTTGAGTACAAGTACTTTTTAAAAAAGTACTTATGAGTACATTTTGAGTACTTTCTGCTAATATGCTAAAACACTTCAGCGCTTATGCAAAACATCATATTTTATTATAACGTATCCAGTATATTTGACAAATTAGGCTATTTATTACTAAAAATGTAAACAGTATACAAAGCATTTGAATATACAATGTGCGCACTGAACGGTGGAAATGGTCCGTGAAGTTGAACAAAAAACAACCCAAACGAACAGACGCAACTAGTGGGTAAGTGATATTACGAATAGAACTTGTTTGAGCAAGACAATGTGATCAAATGTAAGTCAGTCCTAGAGGTTGGAAAGTTCTACAGAAAGAGTATCCAAATTGAAAAATGTAGATACAAAGTTGCTCTTAAGAAAACATAAAATTGATGAAAATGGCCCGCTTAGAAATGGAAAAGTGCATTGAATTCTTCATTAACAAATCCTCAAGGAATCAATGTAGCCTTAAGCAAAAACCACCAAAAAAAGTTTAAAAGAAATTTAGGCAGCCTAAAAATTGTTAGATACGCATTGAGAACACAGTTTCAGTTTCAATTGATTATAGTGGTCTGACAGATTTTGGTCACACTGTGTAGTCCACGGCGCCCACGGCAAACCAAAATTCGATAGTTTCCTAGAGTCTAGTAAGTGTAGTGTAACCAAAGATTCTCTACTGCAGTAGTCTCCGCCTAAGATCCCAGTGCTCGGAAGCAAGGAAAATATGGGATCTTAGCCAACGAAGCCAAGGAAGAATCTACAGTGACCCATGAACTGACGTGACCCCTGGGTGGATTTATGACATATGGCAAGCAAAGAGTGGTCAACCTTGATTACCAATCACAGTGGCATGAGGCATGCCATAAATAATATTATATATACACACTCATTAGCCTATCGTGAGTCTTGAGATCTTTATCTACGTTTATCCAGTTGCCCCTCCCCTTTACCTGTCCAACAATTTTAGCTTTCCATCTCTGATTGAGTCCCCGTCCCCCCCCCCCCCCCCCCAACCTCCTTTGTCATTACGCACCATTACGATGTGACCACGCTAATTAAAATTCAGGTTGTCTCGCAAATTCGGGAAAAACTGCTTTCAATGGTCAGGGAAGAGTTCACAGTTTGATGTGATCCCGACTGGAGCGAACTTGTAGGCCCTACCCACCCAGGGACTGATGTAAGTTTAGGTGGTGAGGTCAGGTGCGAGTGCGATGTTTGGGGAAAAGAAACGCATCGGTCAGTTCACACCTTGGTGTGATCCCGTCTGGAGTAAACACTGTACCGTTTCAAGGAGTTTTACAACGCTTGTGATCACATTCACGATAGTGGCTGATCTTTGAGGCGAGGGGCCGTTCTTTGATCTCAACTTTTAACTCTTGGCGGTTGATCGGGTTTTTGTTCCCAAAGTACTCAAAATGTACTTAAAAAGTACTCAAAAGTACTTTTATAAAAAGTATCGGAGTACAGTAAAAGTACTGGTTTCAAAAATGTACCGGAGTACAGTAAAAGTACCGAAAATTGTAACGTAAGTACAAGTACCGGAGTACAGTAAAAGTACCGAAAATTGTAACGTAAGTACAAGTACCGGAGTACTTGTACTCCGTTACTATCAGCTCTGGTGTCAAACACATCTGTCAATCCGGGATGTGTCAAATACATCTGTCAATGCGGGATGTGTCAAATACATCTGTCAATGCGGGATGTGTCAAATACATCTGTCAATGCGGGATGTGTCAAATGCATCTGTCAATGCGGGATGTGTCAAATACATCTGTCAATGCGGGATGTGTCAAATGCATCTGTCAATGCGGGATGTGTTTGAGTTAACCCTGCTCCACTAGACAAAAGTTGTTAAAAACAAAACAAATGAGGAAGAGAGGTTGCGTGAATTTGTCTCTGTGCTACTCAGGAACATTCTCTCACGGCCATCAGATGTTTGTCCATCCGTACGTCTTGTTTTACTATCATATCCATATTTGGGGAACTCTGGGCCACCACTTTCCAAAGGGGAAACTTACTTGTTAATCCAAGCCGCACGCTTTGCATAGCAGTCTGTTAAATGGGTTGTTGTTTTTTAATACTGAAAGTTTCAAAGAGATCTTCGTACTAGAAGTATTCTAAAATGTAAAGAATACAACCCCGGGTGTACAAAATGACCCCCGGGCGTACGGATAGGAAAAATAAGTGAAAAGCACATAAAAACTGAGGTAAAACTTACAACAAATTTGTCAAGACGTGGTGGAATCAGGCGCTCGTCAATTTTCGGGCATGTGGAGTTGGGGTATAGGGGGCTCTGTGTGAGGTAGTACCTTTGATGTTTGTCATTCTGCACTCTACCTGGTAGGGCGGACGGGCATCACTGCCATTCACTGGTCCCCACACATGCTCTAAATCTCTCACATGTGGCCCCACAGCGCCATACCCCGGTACACTGTTTCAGCTGGCGGACTAAACCATGTGAGGGGGTGATGTTTACACTGCACCACTGGGCGGATGAGCAGCATCAAACAGCCAACGGCCAAGAGCGGACGGGTCCCATGACGGACCCAACGGTCAGAGCAGAAGGGTTCCAAGCTGAGCTCAACGGTCAAGTGTATGCGATCGGGGGCGACCCACTTCATGTTCGTGGACATCGGCCTACGGTTAAGAGCTTGGAGAGGGATGGGCACCGCCAAGCTTCTCTGCCCAAGACTCACCACATGAGAATGACAAACAGCTCAGACACTATACCTGATCGGTCGTCGCCCGGGTCACCAAGGACCGCGCCTTCCGCTGTTGTGCACCAGAATGGAGGTGAAAAATGTGCTACTGATGCACAGAAGATCCGTGCCAGAAACAACATCTCCATTGGCACATGTCACGTACGGACACTGAAAACAGCCGGAAAACTAGAAGAGCTCACGTACGAGATGGACAGATATCTATGGGCCGTACTTGGACTTTGTGAAGTACGGTGGAAGAAATTTGGGGAGATCACGACACAAGATGGCCACAAGTTGTACTTCAGTGGAGAAGAGGACAAGCATATCATGAATGGCGTTGGATTTTTTATTCACAAAGACATCGAGAATACCATCATGGGCTGCCGCCCTATTTCTAGCCGGCTCATTACCATCCGCCTTAGGGCAGTCCCATTCAACATCACTATCATTCAGGCATATGCCCCGACGTCAGACTATGATGAACAGGCTTAGGAGGGCTTCTACGACCAGATACAAGAAGTGATAGACCAGACCCCTAAAAAAGACATCATTGTTGTACAAGGGGACTGGAATGCAAAAGTAGGAAAGGATGCATACAAGAACTGGAAAGGAACATGCGGACAATACTGCAACTCACAGTCAAATGAAAGAGGTCTAAGGCTCCTGGAATTTGCCAGCTATAACAACCTAGTGCTGACAAACATGTGTGGCCAACACAAAGCATCACGGAGATGGACATGACACAGTCCACAGATTGACTACATCACGGAGATGGACATGACACAGTCCACAGATTGACTACATCACGGAGATGGACATGACACAGTCCACAGATTGACTACATCACGGAGATGGACATGACACAGTCCACAGATTGACTACATCACGGAGATGGACATGACACAGTCCACAGATTGACTACATCACGGAGATGGACATGACACAGTCCACAGATTGACTACATCACGGAGATGGACATGGCACAGTCCACAGATTGACTACATCACGGAGATGGACATGGCACAGTCCACAGATTGACTACATCACGGAGATGGACATGGCACAGTCCACAGATTGACTACATCACGGAGATGGACATGGCACAGTCCACAGATTGACTACATCACGGAGATGGACATGGCACAGTCCACAGATTGACTACATCACGGAGATGGACATGGCACAGTCCACAGATTGACTACATCACGGAGATGGACATGGCACAGTCCACAGATTGACTACATCACGGAGATGGACATGGCACAGTCCAAGTGGAGAACACCACAACCAGATTGACTACATCGTGGTGAAAAAGCGCTTCCAGTCCAGTGTCAAAATTGGAAAAACACGAACATTCCCAGGAGCAGACGTTGGAAGCGACAACGACCTTGTGATGATGACCTTTCGCCTCCACCTGAAGAGGGTTAAAAAGCAAGGAAACACAAGGATGACGTTTGATCTGAAAAAACTAAAGAACCCAGAAGTAGCAGAAGCTTCCAAGCCACGATAGGAGGAAAGTGTGCTCCACTCACTGTCGTTGATGCTGGTAACAACAATGACACAGACATGGACACGTGGATCAACACCTTCAATACAGCAGCGACTGACACAGACATGGACGGGTGGATCAACACCTTCACTACAGCAGCGACTGACACAGACATGGACACGTGGATCAACACCTTCAATACAGCTGTGACTGAAACAGCCAGTCAGATCCTCGGAAAACACCGACGAGTCAATAAGCCCTGGGTCACAACTGACATCCTTAACCTGTGTGACAAAAGGAGAAAACTAAAGGAGAAAAAGGAACAACCAGATGGTGCAAAGGAGTACAGAGCAGTCAGCCAAACAAATTAAAACAAGTATGAAAAGGGCAAAAGAAAATTGGATCGAGGAACAATGCCAAATAATTGAAAGCAGCCTGAGGACAAACAACAGCAAAAAGGCATACCAATTAGTAAACCTGACATGCACTAAAGAAGGGCGCACCACCACCATTGAAGACAAACAAGGAAAATGCCTGACAGAGGAACTAGACATTTTGAAAAGATGTACAGAATACTGCTCAGAATTGTACAACTACAAAGCCACGGGAACCCCCGAGATTCTAAACGTTCCCCCAGCAACCAACATCGATAACCTCCCAATCCTTCGAGAAGAAGTTGAAGCAGCAATTAAAGCACTGAAGAAGGGGAAATCAGCAGGAGTGGACATCCCAGGAGAATTGATACAGGCAAGGGAAAGGACATGATAAGCGCTCTGACTGTCATCTGCAACAAGATCTGGCAGACAGGATAGTGGCCGACAGCATGGACACAATCACTAGTGATTACACTCCCCAAGAAAAGTAACCTGCAACTATGTCAGAACTACCGCACCATCAGTCTAATAAGCCACCCCAGTAAGGTTAT